CAAATTGTTTAGTTGGAGGATTTCACCATGAGCTGACATCAGTTAGAGAACCATTGGAAAACCTGGGAATACCAGACAGCTGTTTCGTCCCAACTTGGGACAGCGATGTTACGTACGAACTGGAGGTCAACATTCTGAAGGCAACTACCTAGCAACTCGAAACCATACTGACAGACTGAGATTTCAAGCAGAAGCAAATGGCTGACGAAAGTGAAGTTACTAGAAAATGCAAAGGTGGTAAAAATAAAAATATCATCAATTAACAATTTCTGTGAATACATTGATGATCAGATGTAATGAAGTGGTGCACCACGTAGATGGACTTGTGAGATGGGATGAATTTATTTGTCACCTCATGTTAGGTGAAAAATTCGCAAATTTAATGAACTTATTACTGCCACAGTTTTGTTTCTTACACGTCAGTAATAGAACCTGAAAGGACTTCAACGTCAACTCCTTTTTGTAAATGGCATCTGATGAAAAATATTTAAAGACACCTTTACAATAGCGTAAATTTTATAATGAAACTAGTAAGAGGACAAGAATAATTTCTCTTTGATAGAAAGGCTTTATATTTCAACTTATTATGTATGTTATACACTATATTTATATAAGAGAAATTGATCGATTATTGGAAATCATGTGACTTAAAAAGAAGCCTACAAACTAACAACAAATCTAGAAAAAGAGCAAACAAAATGATAAACACTGCAGCTCACAAATCACTTAAAGAAGTATATCAACAGGGCAAAAAGAAGCAGTATTATACGGATAGTTCAATAAATAAAAAAATATATAGACTTTCAACTAGTGATATACACGTAAATAACATCAACAGAGGCGATAACACGAAAGATGATATTGTTGATAAAAGCATAAAATTATTATCAAATAATACCTATTCTATCCTGTTTCCTTCTAATGATCAACAGCTTTGTGAAGAACAGCAAAAAAAAATGGAAGAGGAAATTATTCTACCTCAAAGTACAGTTCACTTAATTTCAAATAAAGGTAAACATTACCAATTGACTTTTAAGGCTGAAAATCCACACTTCGATTTCATACATTTACACTCTTCTGTATATTCAGTAAATAAAAAGCCTTCAAAAGCAGGTGATACTACTCATTATAATAAGAGTAGTCAGGTTGAATCAAATGAATATTTTGTTGAAATACGTGGAATGAGATGTAAGAAGTATGTCTTCAGCATGAAAAGGTTTCGTATTATACCTAACCTGCACAATAATCAAACTGTTATGGATATTTCTAAAAAGCTGAATAAAACAGCTGATGCTAACTCTACCACTGCCAGCACACGTAAAGATACTAGTAACAATTACCATAAACAACAATCACCAATGGAAAGTACAATTTATGTACAAAAAGATGGAATGCTTTTTCTCATGATAAGTAATTCTATTCATATGGATATTAGTCAGTCATTTGCAGACTACGACAGGTTATCAAGTGAAGATTTTTCAGAAACTGATAATAATAATTATAATACCAACATTACTACTAATGGTATCATAAGTAGTAGATTCACTTCGCCAAAGTTAAAAATACAACCGCCAAAACGTGAGATTTCCAATTACGCATCGTTAATTGGTCGATTAGGACAGGATATCATACGCATACATTTTATTCTTATTGACTGTAACATTAAGCCAATAACCTGTTTTAACTCACGTGGATGTCAGTCTGTTGAAAAATACGCTTACATAAAAATGTGGCCAATCAATTCAAAGAAGCCAACGTATTGCGCAATACCACTAAGTACATACATTTATCATGATCCAATGATATCTATTCGAAAATATAATACAATGCTGAGAAGGACTGGTCGTGAACCGGACTGGATGATTGAACAAAGAAGGAAACGACGCCAACAATTTCTGACATCAGGACAGTTCAATAAAACTACAAACAATCAGTGTAATCATACATCCTTTATCCACTTTGTAATGAATGGATATAGAGTTAAACTAATATGCAGTAATTATTTGAATACAATAATTGTTAACGGACAGTCATTATATAAAGATTTTGTAGAAGCCAATCAAAATACTTCAAGATAAGTGTTATAACGTAAGTTGCGCAAATGATCACCTGGATAAAAGAGAATCAGGTAGTTTAACACACTAATAGCGTTAAGTAGAGGCATGGCTCATCGACTTAAAACTCAGTTTCAGTCAATGAATTATCCGGCACTTACTTCAAACTTGGTCTTAGTGTAAGGTGACATCTTATCTCATTTTTAGCTGACATTTCACATTCTACTTAAAGAAGTCATTAGACATAGGTAACTTACCTGGTCGATAGTCACTAGTATTTTAAACCAAGACGTGCATTCAGCCTTATCTGGGACTTGTTAGTTAGATGTACCTATAATCCCTGTGGGTGAATGTGTTCTTGAGGTGACTCGAACCTAGAACTCTCTGTTTTACACAAGGCAAAGTCCACCAGGATAATGAGCCACTTCTTTAGAATTGGGTACTAACTTTAGTTGACCTAAAGTTGTGCATTCTTCGCTATCTGTTTTATCCAACAGGAACGACCAGGCTCCGTTGGTACACGGACTCCTGGAGTAGACAACTTAAAGGTACGTTTTTATCCAGTCTAGTGTTGCTTGGAAATATTCACTTCGGTACACAATAAACAAGGTTAAATTCAACGCATAGGTAAAATAGCTGAATCATCCCAGACAGTGAAGGGTCAAAACTTCATCAATTGGTTCAACTGCTTTCCCGCTACCACAATCCTAATTTCTACATTTCTCAGTGACTTCACTGGGGGAGAAACTATTAAATGAGACTCGGTGGCTAATTACGTGTATTCCCCAATTTTACTGGACGTCCCTAATGGCCACACAATTTGGTACATACCTTCAATAGGTGGTTCAACATCTCACTCATGCTACGGGTAGCGTAATTTGAGTGATTTTCACAATGAAATTTACCAGCCACTAGTTCAACTGAGTTAATACAACTGTTGTGTTTTTAAGCGAAATGGTACTAATACGTTTATATGTATGTAAAATTGGTGAAGGAATGTTTGGAAACAAATTTCACCAGAAGTTATGGGGTGGAGTTGCAAAATCCAATCTCATATTTCAGTCAAATAGTAAAGGGAGAAAACAACAACACTCGACATAACCCTCTTCAGCTGACTATACACCGAAATCTCCGACATTATCGAAACTGCATCTCATTCAGTAAGAAAAGCAGTTAGGCGACTTCCCATCTGCTTATCAGTAAAAACGAAAACTACTGATTACAGAAGTACCCGTGTTGAAAAACATGGCGATGGAATACCTGATTTTAACGCTAACTACGAGGTTTAGAAACTGTATGGTTCTTATGAGCATGCTGTGGTAAACTTTTCCTAGGATTATGAGATCTTAATACCCTGATTACTTAGTGAATTTGAATGACGACTGAAGATTATACCTTCTAATTCATACGACTGCACGTAATTTCATGTAAGAGTAGATCTTGGACACCGTAGTAGAATATAATTCTACATTAGGTAAGTTTATTTCAAACAACGCAGTGAAGCAGTAACAATCACTGGATGATGTTTCAAGCACAACATATTGCTCATAATTATATCATTGTATTCATACATCTTAACCTGCTTTATAATGCTATGCAGTTATTCACTAGTAATACTTTCTTAATATCTGATCTCATTATTTAAATCTCCAAACTCGCCAGTTTGTCTCCTGACTCGATTACATTTGATCAAACCCTACTCTTACCGATTTCGGGTGGGAAGAGTCAAAGTCTAAGTACCTATTACAATGTGACGGTCCATTTTCGATCAAGAAAATAAACATGATGAATTAGCTATGCTGGACTGTAAAACAACGCGAAAACACGATAGTGGATTAGATACAACTGATGTTATCCTAAACGATTCTCCAATCTTCATGATTGCATACTCCTTGATCAAAATTATTTTCCTCCTTTTCAGGTTGTGTACATAACAATTACATGGAAGTAAGACTATATGAAGCTTGTCAGATAAAAGAAGCTCAAAATCAGTCACTAATTTTCGCCGAAATATTCAAACGGTGAAACATGATTACCCGTGCATGGTAATTTTTGACAAAGTCGATTTGACGTTGAATTTCTAAAAGTCTGTAATATTATTATTACGTCTAGTAATACATTATTACTGTATTTGCAGTTGTTGAGGATTTTAAACAGCCACTAGACAAACGGTGCTTACCATTTTGAACTAACCTCTCTTTTCAGAGTCACACTACTACTGGCAATTTTATAAGAGTAACATTCAAAGGAAAAATATTCAGAAATGCAATAACACAGACACAATCGATGAGGATCTCAAGCTATACAGACTGAGATGGCTAGAACACTAACGTGAACGGAGGGCCACCATATACCAACGAACAGTCCTAGCTCTATTATTATTAGGTTCGAAAACAGTTAGGGGTAGTTCAGTCAAAACCTTGCGCCATTCCAAGATGTCTTTACAGTTGGTTAGGACTAGCCGTGTAGAGATCTCAGCTGTCCGGATACCAAGAATCAATGGCTGCAGACTATTGATGGTATGCCCCAAAAACGTTCCCCATGGCGCAGATGCATTCGCTCTTTGTGATCTTCCACATACATTAAATTCCCATACTCCTCCATGTTACTATTTCTTCTCACCCATATTTCTGCCCAACCTGTCCTTATAAACCTCCCTCCTCGTTTGTCTACTCTTGTGTGCTCTACAAGGAGAGTCTGGACGCCCAAACTGCTGCATTTCTCTGCAAAACTCTGTTTAAACACAGACAGTCAAATTAAACTAACACACGCAACTCACTGGCTAAAGCACTCAGGTTCAGCCAATGAGCTGTGGGTTCGAATCCAGCCCTATTTATTTCGGCTTGGGTGATAGGACAGTACCATCAACCCTCCTCACTATAAAGTATGGGTCAGACTAGTAGGTGAAAGACCTATTCCTGGTAAATGAGTTCAAACGACAACAGATATATGCACATAAATCGGATTTATTCTCTGCAGAAAGTGAAAGCTAATAAAACTGACTACACAAATGTACTGAACGTAAGGAAATGAAGAAATGGAAAAGAGTGGAAACTTGTCTGTATGAAATTGCACCATCTTCTTCAAAGGGGAAAATATACAAGGATGATGTGCACATAATCACTAAGAAAGTATTGAAAACACTACCAATTGTGTACAGTACATTGAAGGGAATAGAAATGTGTATCACTAGTCTTTATATGCATTCATCTTATCTACAATACTCCGCACTATTTCTTGTACTGGTTTCACCTGCCCATAATAATCAGAAAATTGTCCTTTTGGATCCAGTAGGTACATGACAACAGTGTGGTCGACCTACAAATATAAAAATTCAGACAGTCACAATATATAGCAATAGATTTGAAATTTAACGTTGTAGTCTCGATCGTGGAAATTCTCTAATTCTAAAATAATCATTACGGCATGAGGTAGCCTAAATAGATTTCAGTCGCGTATCAGAACTTTACTCTATGGTATGTTGATGCACGATACTTAGTGCAGTGAAACCAATAATTTACAAGATAGCACAAACGAATGCAGAAGATGAAAGCACTTTTACCTGTAAGTATGGATCTATGGGAAAGGGATTTCCTCCCTCTAATGTTATGAAGAAAAAGTCGAGATAGGTTCTCATATTACTATACTTCAATGACAAAATGAAATCCTTGTTTCAAGACTACAAAATTTAAGTGTCATTATTCCGTATTTTGAACTGTTTACAATACCCTGATCAACTTCGGTTTAAAAGAGGATTTTTGCAGTTAATCTGATTACTTTATTGGGAGTTAGGTCGTTTGAATTAAAAGCTGTAATTGGTTTTCATAAAATACTACACTGAATTATGCAACTGATTGGACACCATCTCCATTAAAAAATAAACTATCGAGAGGTCACGCCTATTATCGCCAGTACATACACACTGAAAAGTCAAGTAGGTCAAAACCACATACAAGATTAGAATATTAATGCTTGGATTTTTTATTTCCACTTATGAACACCCTTATTTATAAATTTACACACTTGTGAAGAGTTAGATTTTCATTTATTTATTTATTTATTTAAACACGCTAACGAAAATTAAGAGTAAACTGATGTACATAAATAAAATGAGATGAATAAAAAGATGGTTAACCAACAAAAACAGAATGTACGGACAAGCATTCTCACAAAATATAATTAAAATGTCCTTCACTTTGTAAGTAATAAGAACACAGTAAGATAATTGTGACTGATGCTGACTGAGACATAATTGAAGACGTTTCGAAACGCTTAGTTGCACTGTCTCTCGAGCACTCATCCAGTTCATTTGAGAATATACACACAATCCAATGTTAGTCTCTTATTCTTATCAGTCACTGCTGATATTTTGAATTATAAATACTGTTTGATAGAAGTGGCCTTCAGTACTTAAAATGCCATTATCAGTAGTAAGTTAATTACTATAAGCATACAGCATAATGTAAAATAAAATACTGATGAGACTTACGATATAATCACCATCAGCGTCCTTCGGACCTGCGCTATAATAAATACGATACAGTTTAGCAGCTTTATCAATCTCTTCTTTAGTACCAGTAAGACCAACCAGATTTGGTGAGAATTCTAAATCATTAAAAAAAGGGAAAGACATTAATTTCCCTAATACACGAATTAGTCCCAGTCTTCACTTCGTCAGAATATTTCACTAATGACAAATATCAAAACACCAAACAGTGCTTTGAGCTTATTTACTATTCTCGATTTTTCTTACAACCAAACATTGCTTGATAAACAGTAAAGAAACATGAAGAAATCCTAGCAGTCGTATACGAAACTACAACCAAGATGCCAGTACATTTCAATGCAAAAAGTGGCATTGGAAAAAAAATATTTTTACGGAAAACCAAGTTCGCCAACATCAACACCACCATAGCATAAAACTGACCCATAAAATTCATTCTTGTGGCATGATCTATGTATTCTATGATGGATATCTTTTATCTCAGTTTTGGTAACATGCGAACATAACAATGTAAATCTAAAGCATATTGTTATAAAAATCACTTTGTTCACACAAAAGAATGTTCAACCTATCGAGACCCAACATCAAAGTTTTTGCATACTTATTTACAGGGATATGCCATCAGAATCAAGTTTACTACATTAAAATAATTTCGAAACTTGGCAGGAAACCAGTCGGAAGGCAAGATTCCTACCACTCGCTCTGAGATTTCCTTGGCTTTCTCAACTCCATTGAAAAAGTTAACGTTTCTAATCAAACCATGTTCTCACTAGATGTGGTATCACTGTTAATGAATGCCCCATTAGCTGAAACAATATGCTACAAATGCAAACATACTGACTCAAAGAGGATAAAAATGCGATGCCCCCTACATGTCCAGTTCTCTTTTAATAATGAAATACATCGATAGTATAGTATAGCTATGGGCTCATCACTAGGCCCATTGTTGGCAATTTCTTTTCAAAACTAGAAAACACATACCCAAAGAAAATGACTGACAGCTTCGGGTTTTACAAGTGATATGTGAAGGATACTTTCATTATGTCTAATAACGAGGAGAATTTGGACGACATCCTGGACTTTTTCAACAGCTACCACACTGCGATTCAGTTGTCATCAGATAAGGAATCCGAGACAAAAATATCCTTCCTGGAAGCTTAATTAACAAGACGTGAACAAGAATGAGCACTACAAGGATCCATCTATAGAAAGCCAACATAGAACGGACAATTTACTAATTTCCATAGTTCGGTGCCTCTATACACAAAACTTAACCTGATCTGTTCACTGAGCCATAGAATACACAGCATTCGTAGCTTTGACACTATGGAAGAGGAGCTGGACACTCTGGAAAGAATACGCCTCGTAAACGGCTTCCCAGAACGTTTCATCACGAAATCCATGAAACCCGAACCACTTAAAATGCCCACACTTTCTGTCCCCCAAAAGCGTCTCCACTTGAACCTACAATTCAACGGAGACTCATCATCATAAATACTGAGAAACTGCCTGTCTCGCTCAATGAAGAAAACTTTCTTCGTGGCTGAACTTTCAAGAACTTTCTCAACAAAATCAATGATTCGCATAAACGTGAAGGATAAGCTACCAATGTTGGTCTAGTTATTGTGTACCAATCAGTTTACCTGCTCGTGTGGAGCTAGGTATATCGACTGGACCCAGCATTTGCTATCCAAACGTATCGTCGAACACACCCTAATGGCTTTATAAAGGAGAAAAAAGATCCCTCAACCACAGCTCTATCTTGGAACACCTGGTCAAATCTGATCAAGCTAACCCACAAACTAACTTCAAAGTCACCTACAGAATACACGGGAATCTTATCAGAAGAGTACGAATCAAACTCCTTCAAACCACAGAATCAATGGTAATTTACCTGATGAATCCCGAACTCGGCATACACAAGTTCGTCTAATCACTAAATCTACAATGGACGTGACTCAACGCGTATTTTTTTCCTTTTAGTTTTTAAACTGTATTGGCTTCTTCCTTCATACCCAATCAAATTTTTACCTCATTACCACCGTTGTTAACTTGACTCTCATTCAATTTCAGCTGAACTCTACTCAATCCCGTCAATTATGAGTCACTCAATTTACTTATCTAATTTTGTTTTAGTTTCTACTCGATTAACACGTAAACTATCTAAAAAATTTGGAATCCTCATGACACATCTTTGGATATATTCCTTTTGTTGCTAAGAAAATTCACTACATATGTGCGATTGTACAGCTTGAGAATTACATCACTGAAAAGAGTGACTCTACACTGAAGGTCTTTACTTTTATATGCCGTTTAGCCTCAACGTATGCGAACTTGATATCAGTGACTCTTAGTAACTACTACACAAAATGTAAATGACGATCAATTACCTTTGATGTAATTATTCACAACCTCAGGAGTATCACGCTCGCTATCGATTGTCATAAATACAGGGACCAAAGGATACTTGGGTTTTTCAATAAGCACTGAAAAGAACAAAGAATTTAGAAAATACACAACTAAGCTCCAGATCCTAAAAGGTAAATGTCATGACAAATGATTTTAAAACACTTTGAACATATCAAGAAGTGTACAAGTACTTACGAAAACAAAAAGACATTGCTAACTAAAGAACTGAAAACTTTTGGGCTTTCGTAAAAGATGTTGTAACGTAACAAACTGCAAAACAGTATCCGACTTACTTGTCCATGACTCACTGACTTTACTTTAATAGTCACCGAATAGTTACAGTTTTAATTGAGCAGGAAACAGCACGTGACTCACGCATCTATTCTTCTTAATTATCAAACATCATTATGCACCAACTTGTGGTTAACCTGTGCAAATAAACTGACTTTGAATTCTATGGTTATTTTCACCCACTCATGTCATGATTTTTGTAATCAATTATTTTCATCCCGACCATGCCTCAGAACTGATAATTCATACTGACTATCATCACCACGTGACTGATATAATTGTAATGTAAAGCTATATATATATATTTGTATAGAGGCATTGATGAGGAACTAATTGAGGTGTGTATTTCGCACAATTTGTGTGTGTAGACGGGAATTGCTAAACTTGCATTTCCGTCTCGTCTATGCAGTGCCTACGATTTTGAGATAAGGAAAAACAAATGTGATTTTCATATGGCGAAAATCCTTATTTAAAGAAAACAAATTAAGCCAAGAAATATTTTTCGGCTAAATTCGTGTCAATGCATCTACTACAATATGCAGAGTATTTTCAACAAAATACATAATTTTCCAAGTGCATTAATAATAATCAATCAATATCAACAAGTTGATAGGATGCTAATTGGTTACGAAAATTAGTGCAATATTTGAAGGGTTAAAATATTTGCGAAAATTAAAAAGGTGATGACAAAGTGTGCATCTAATTAGCAAACTGACGTCTGTTTTGGAGAAGCATCTTTATTCATAAATGTGTAAACTTATGAACAAAAATTGAACATAGCAAAAATATTCATTCAGACATCTAGAAAAAACAAAATAATTAAGCAAAGAATATTCTTTTCGATAGTTTCCTCTTCTGGCTCCACGATTTTATATGTTTATATATAAAAATATTATAAACTAAAAAAATGAATAGCATCTACACAAATTTTAGTTGTAATTACGATTATGACGGACTAAATCTACTTAATCACCATTATTATTATGCCATGTATATAACGTTTTTCCAAAACTCAACATTCATTGTTTACATTAACCGTTAGTTCAGCGAAGAGTCTCTTTTCGGCGAATTCATTCACTTAGCTGTACAGTCGCAAATATATATACAATTATTTTGTGTGTGTGTGTGTGTGTACATTAGGTTTGACAAAATCAAAATAACAGTTAGTGTGGGTTGTTGATTATATCATCAAGATAATGAAGAAGTTAAAATGTGTGATTATTACTCAAAGTATTGAGTATTAATCACACATTTTAACTTCTTCATTATTTTGATGATGTAACTCTACTCACATCTTACCAATATTCACCCCACTTAGTTACAACCTTGAGTATTAATCACACATTTTAACTTCTTCATTATCTTGATGATATAATCAACAACCCACACTAACTGTTATTTTGATTTTGTCAAACCTAATGTACACACACACACAAAATAATTGTATATATATTTGCGACTGTACAGCTAAGTGAATGAATTCGCCGAAAAGAGACTCTTCGCTGAACTAATTTGTTATTACAGGATTTCATCATGAGCTGACATCAGTTAGAGAACCATTGGAAAACCTGGGAGTACTGGACAGCTGTTTCGTCCTAGTTTGGGACTCTTCAGCAGTACGCACCCACCGGGATTCGAACCCAGGACCTTCTGGTTACAAGGCGAGCTCGTATACCATTAAGCCACTGGGACCCGATCCAATGGTCCATGAATTCTAACTTCTGCCAATTCACGACATAGCGCGACCCCTAGCCAATGTCTTCGGCGAGTATTTGTCCTCACGCCCGACCTGCTGCACCCTACTGCACCCCTACCCTATTGTTATTATTTCAATGTCTTAATGGGTATATTTCGCGAATTACATTAACCGTGTCGAAAAGTCTCATTCCTCACCACTAATTGATGTTCTAATCGGAAGTGGAACGTTTAACCATAACCACAATAGCAACCGTTAAGCGGCGAACATATTTGTGTTGTCTGATGTGGATTTAATTGACCTCATGAAATGAAAATTTAGGATTCATATACCATTGGATTCTAATACAGTAGATGAGGGGTGAATTACTTGATTCATAACCCAGGAATCTTCGGTTTGACATTTGATGATATCGTGAGTGTATAATGCAGAAAGGTTCAGTACGAGGACAAAACAGATGTTTAACGTTCTCTATTTTTCAGTTTTCCTCTAATCATCCATTTATGACGAAGTCTAAGTTAAAAACAGTTGTCTCAGCAATATTTTCTAGTAGTAATCTTATTAAACTGATAACTCACTTATTCTGTCGCACACTTCGACAAGCCTTTCAATTTGTTCTGGGCAAATATCTGGGCATCGACAAAACCCGAAATACAACAGAATCCATTTTCCCCGAAAGTCAGACAACGTGCAGGATTTGCCATTATGATCAATTAAATTAAAATCGCCACCAATCTGAGGACGACCAAATGATTTATTTTTTTCACTGGCTAAAAATTTAATGTATCAAAATTGATCTCAAAGCATAAATGAAGACAATATGAAACACTTCAAAAAAAATCCACTCCATGTAACTTGATTTACTTGATACGATTAATTCAGCCCAGTACATGTTACGCAGCTCAGGAAAATGCAGGAAGATGACAGTTCAACTTCCTAACATACTGGTTAAAACCAAATTCAATAAGTCACAAGATGCAAATGTATGTTAACCATAAGCGAATTAATTGTAATTAAAAGGATAACAAAACAATAAAATACATTTCCCAAAGTTACCAATTTCAAGAAATTCAAGCCAAGTACCTCTATTCATCTACGATTGTCAGTGTTGTAAACAAAAAAAACTAATGTCAAGCAATGTTTTCCCACACTGTTAAGTGCAACTGATATGAAATGCCTAAACAGACCAACCGTAGCTTTACCTGCGTTAATTATTATGAGACTAACATCTATCCTATCACATTCTGTAGTCTAAGCGTACAACAATTGGAAGAAATTAGGTGCATTTTATTAATATTTCTATTCCCTTCTAGCCTCCCTAATGGGACAAAAAATTTAAATTAAACGAGAGTTTTCACTACTCTATGGAATGTAAAGAATCGACTGGAGTTGTACAATGCATACTGCTACCTGGCATTCCTGAAACACTAAGAGATCACAGCACACTCTATATAAAGCATGGGATCAGTGTAGTAAATATTACTGGGTTTATGAGTGCGTCAAAAGACGTTATTATAAAAGATTTTGTATTTGGTAATGAATGGAAAACAAAACGATATTGCTTTTACTGACGTTTCGGTGTTCAATGCCAACAGCTTTATCAAAGTATTATTAAACCAGAATTTACAAAATCTCAGCTTATATATAGCAACGTAATCACCGTTCATCAGGATGGGGTAATTTTCACGTTGTCAAGTTGGCCAATTGGTTAAGATAACAAAATCAAGTGTAGATTGTTGGATTTGATAAGCGTATAAGATTATAAAAGCAGCATGTGTTTACATAATGAAGTTGCTTGTCACATTCGTCTTGATTTTTCATTTCATGGGGTAAAGGGTGTTGTAACCAGGTCAAATTCTGTTCCAGTCCATCATTCATATTCAGATAATTTGGATTCCATTTCTGATACTAGACGGTCTTTGTGATTTCTGAAATTTTTCCGTAGAGCATCTATTCGACCATCAAGAAATCTAGTTGAACTAAAAAACTTGAAAAATCGTCAGCCGTAGGTCTATACGCTGTAGAATCAGATAACGAAATTGATTTTGACAATATTGAAATAATCCGGAAAAATTTCAGAAATCACAAAGACCGTCTAGTATCAGAAATGGAATCCAAATTATCTGAATATGAATGATGGACTGGAACAGAATTTGACCTGGTTACAACACCCTTTACCCCATGAAATGAAAAATCAAGACGAATGTGACAAGCAACTTCATTATGTAAACACATGCTGCTTTTATAATCTTATACGCTTATCAAATCCAACAATCTACACTTGATTTTGTTATCTTAACCAATTGGCCAACTTGACAACGTGAAAATTACCCCATCCTGATGAACGGTGATTACGTTGCTATATATAAGCTGAGATTTTGTAAATTCTGGTTTAATAATACTTTGATAAAGCTGTTGGCATTGAACACCGAAACGTCAGTAAAAGCAATATCGTTTTGTTTTCCATTCATTACCAAATACAAAATCTTTTATAATAACGTCTTTTGACGCACTCATAAACCCAGTAATATTTACTACACTGATCCCATGCTTTATATAGAGTGTGCTGTGATCTCTTAGTGTTTCAGGAATGCCAGGTAGCAGTATGCATTGTACAACTCCAGTCGATTCTTTACATTCCATAGAGTAGTGAAAACTCTCGTTTAATTTAAATTTTTTGTCCCATTAGGGAGGCTAGAAGGGAATAGAAATATTAATAAAATGCTTCTGATTTATACCGTCTGTTGACTATAGACCTGATCTATTTTCTCTTTTCCTCCCCAACAGATCTGAATACCTCAAATGTCACGGCAGGAGTTCGAAAGCCAAGGTGGGACTCTATTGCCGACTCGTATACTACTGTAGCCAACTCACAAAACAGGTGTCAGCGCTCTCACTCAAGATAGGTATAAACAAGCACACGAACTTATTAAAAAAGAACCAACACAATCTTTACGTCTTTTGTCCTCAGTCGATAAATCTGAATTCAGTCGTGACCGACTAAGGTTGATAATTATCAAGAGCTGAAAACCAAATTCCTTAACAGTTCTGAGAAAAAAAAGCGGCATATTATTTACGCATCTCAGAGTTCAGTCAACCTGTAAGAATTCCAAACAGTTAATTCCCATGACCTATCTGTGTAACCATTTACGAAACTGAGAGGATATCAATCCGATGGTTAGGTGAGTTTCGCTAACCTTTTTTGAGGTCCCTTGACATGTATATTGCACCTCCTGCGACCAAACCTGTAAAGCCGACAAAAACACTCCATTGGATATATCGCAACCTCTATAAATCATTCACCAATAGCATATACAGAACCTACATCAGACCGGAGAGTCGACATATGCCTGTATGGAATATGATACTGGGAAATTAATGTCTTACTAAATATTATGAAGTTACTGAAAATTAAAAAACTAACCTAATTCCCAAACACCTCATACTCCGACTGCAAAACATGCTAAGGAACTGGAACAGCCGCCCTTGTGCAGTTACCTTTCCGTAAATTCAAATCCAATATCCAATGAAAATGTGACAATCAAGACATCTCTTGATCTTTTTGATGTTTGTGAAGGCAAATGGGTTTTCTCTTGGAAGTAGGGTGGTTAAATGCCATATTTTCTTTAATTATGTTTGTCTTGCTTTCATGACAATTTTCTTTTAGTAGACAAGTATTTCTTGCATTTCTTAAGTTACCGATAAAGATCGCAAACTACTGTGCTTACATCAATCACTTGTGTTATGTTTCTAATATCACCAGATAGCTTTCCCGAACTGACTGATTCAGAAAATACTCTGAGGTTTAGGAAAGATCATACGTACAACGAAAAGCAAGAATCCGTGTCAGACAATACATGTTGGTGGCCGAAAATATTATGTGCCCGTTTGAAAATATGAATATAATTCATAAAATCTGTGTCGATCCCCATATCAGTTTGAAGTGAAGACAGAAGTAAGACAAGGTCTCCCAGCATCAACAGTAATACCCTTGATTACTGTGAACTGGATCATGCAGCACACCATGAGGAGTGAAAAGGTGGCCAAACCTTAGACCGACTAGATGAATCTACACCATATAGACTCGGCCGACGATTTACGTCTTATTTCACACAAACTCGAAGATACAGAAAAAGTGTAGTGAACCATTTTATTACTCATCATCGTACTATACTTTCATTGTATAATTGTACTTCGATTTGTTTATTACTCTAAATCTTGCATGTTAACAATTGATACATTTGTACTCGCTCAAGTTTTGAATTTTGATTACGGCGAGAATACACATTCCTACACCTTCTCAAGTGTCTTCTGATTTACGTTGTGTGTGTCGAGTAAGCACAACGTTAGGACACAATTATAAACGAGAAGAAGTACTAGGATATATGTGTACGCTAGTTTAATCAAAATATAACAACACAACAACTGGTGAGCCCAACAACAGCTGGTGAGCCCAACGACAACTTGTGGACCTCGACGCATCGTTACACTTGCTGGATTAATAAAACTCTAACTTTCCTGGGTCTATATATTTACTAGACATTTCGAACTCATTCTTGTGCTATCTCATCGCACAACCTGCAGTAAATTGCGACTTACGAGATGGCCAGTAGCTTGTCCCTTACCTGATATTTCTGCTGAAACTGTTGCAAAGAGCATCATACAAAATTGGATTTCCTACTTCGGAGTGCCCAGCACTATTACTACAGTTCTCTGGTAATCCAGCAGGCACAACTCAACAGTTCTTCCTTAGTCCTCAAGCTTCAGCATTGTCTACAGGTGGTCAAACACTCTTAAAATGGTCTGCGACTCCATTTACTCAAGCCGGTCCTACAGCTGTTCAATCACAACAACATCAGCAACAAGCAACAACAATGGCAACTGACGTCTCTGTCAGTGGTCAACCTTGTACAGTAGCTGCATGCTCCGATGTTACTCCCCAGTTTATCACCCTGGCACCAGGAGCTCCATTAAAAGTCATGGCTGTTGGTCCTAACGGTCAGTTGATTCAAATCACTAGTTTACCACAGTTTATGCCAACTGCTCTTGTTGGAATGGCTATCAATCAACCAACTTCTACTCTCCAACCTCAGCAAACATCAATTCAAGTTACTCCTAAACGCCGAATAACAACACCCCAGCAACAACAACAACATACTGACGGACGTTCACTTTCAACCGTATCAGCAGCAGCAGCTACTGCTGCACTCTTCTCTGGCACAGCCATCTCTTCTTGTACAATTCCACTTGTACAACCAGCTTTCATGGAAATAGAGGTAACTGAATGTTTACCCAAGTCATTCCCATACTTCCTTATTACTATACTATTAACTGTATGTTAAGATATAAATCTATTCTGTAACTCTTTACAATAACAACCTCATTATTATTCCAATAATAATTTTTCTGCTTTTATTGTTACATGTTGCACAACTTTCTAAACATTTTAGTTCGTTTCAAAGTTGTTAACATTTTCGAAAATATACGGTTATAATCGAACCTCAGAAAACTTAAAAGCCTCAATTCGGTTTTCATATTTTTTGTCCTTGTAATTTACAATATCATTCCGAATACAGGTAAACTTCATTTACCTGCATTCTACGGAGGGGCTATTGTAGTGACCCATTTTATTACTCATCATCGTACTATACTTTCATTGTATAATTGTACTTCGATTTGTTTATTACTCTAAATCTTGCATGTTAACAATTGATACCTTTGTACTCGCTCAAGTTTTGAATTTTGATTACGACGAGAATACACATTCCTACACCTTCTCAAGTGTCTTCTGATTTACGTTGTGTGTGTCGAGTAAGCACAACGTTAGAACACAATTATAAACGAGAAGAAGTACTAGGATATATGTGTACTCTAGTTTAGTCAAAATAAAGCAGCACAACAAAGGAAACCAACAATTTGGCAGAAGAGGCAGGGTGTGGAGACATGACTTCATGGGAACATAGAGAAGACAAAGGTGATGCTGATGCCCAATCGACGACAATATCAGTGAGGCCAGACATTACTGCGAAGTCGGTAAGGAGACAAATAATACACTGCACAAAGAACGAAATTCAAATTTCCAACATTAATACGAAGTTAGTGCTCTATTCGACTCGGAACCTTGGAGGACGCGTCAACAAAACAGTTCCGGACGGAATGCTGGGGTATTTCATGGAGAAACTTCCACTCCGCTTCATAGTGGAGGGATAACGAGCCGGAAATAATGATCAATCAACAAGGAACTAACAGATACACAGCCTAACAAATATGCTGAATATTACCGGGCCATTATCTGGGGAGACTGTTGAGGGAAGCAACAGAATGACCGTCTGAGAGTAGCATGTAGGATACCTTATGAGAAAATGAAAGTTTGAATGTGATCCAGGAGACCTGTGAAAATGACTTCGAGGAAAGAAAGTACATTCGAGAACTTTCGCTGAAAACCATGTGTTCAAACTGAAATGCAAGGAATGAATAGTAACACCAGTATTCAATACAGAATTTCCGAGACAGACAGAATCTAATGACGTTTTGGAACAGATTTCAAAGGACAAATGATGGCATAGACAATCTCCCATGGAAACTGCCATAATTAACTCCCCGGATAGATGACTGGAATGTTGGAAGGAACATCTTGAAGATCAATTTAACTGGCCCACAGCCACGTTCAAATTGTTCGGCATCCAACTCCTAACTGAATGGGATGTAGACATCGCTCCTTCAACCGAAAATAAGCTTACAAACCCTGTCCATAATCTGAAATGAGGACAAAAAGCAGGATCTGACGGAATAACTTCATGTGTTAAAGGACAATTTTGAAAGACTGCTTTGCAGGTCAGCCATGGTACAAAGAAATGACTGGGAATAAAAAAACAGTTCCGTTAGACTGGTGTAACTAATTGGTTATCCCAGTTTAAAAGTAGAGAAACGAGCCTCCCTGACATAGTACTTAAAGTTCTAGGTTCAGTAATCATGCGCAGACTAAGTGGTACTGGAATGAAACAAACCCGATAACACCAGGTACATTCATATCATATCTTCATACCTTGAAAGATTCTTGAACATAGGCGAACCTACTGATGCCCGACAATCCCCATATTTCTTTACCTGAGGGAGGAATTTGACTTCTATGACCGAGAGGCACCTTGTCAATGTCTGGCAGTGAATGAAGTACTGCGAAAGTACATCACAATAATCAATTCGAACTCACGAAGCTATGTGAGAGCCTAGGGGTAAATTTCATCTGAAGTGATGACAACTAGTGGTGTCCATCGGAGATGTCCACTGTCCTTCTTATTTAATTTCATCATAGATACACCATTGAAATTGACTGTGGCTAAATTTAGTGACTTAGAAATTAAATAGCTACCAAGACATCTGTCCTGCCTAATGACTGTAAGGCATGGATACCTAAAATGGAAAACGTGAAGAGGAAAGCCTCTTCTGAACGCATATTTACATTCAATCTCTACTATTCAGTGGCATATGTAGTGAGTAATGCTAAGCTAATTAGTAAGCGGTAAGTTTACCGTCAGCTTCCGCGAATGGACTATTTTTACAATATCCAAGTTGAATACACGCACAAAAATACATGGAAAATTTCTTTAATATTACAAAATAGTAACTTAGAATAGTAGTAAACACAGTTGTAATAAAGAAAGAAAGAAAAAATAGAAGAAAATTTGCACAGCAGCCCATGTTATTGCCAATAATATGTACTTTTGCTGCTGGACTATCAGTTTTATCTATTTGTATGTGTTATTGTTCATGTCATGTGTCATGTGAGACATTCATATGTGGTGCAGAAGTGTGATTTTAAAATCTAATATCTATGAAATCATTAAATGTAATACAAGAATGTTTTCAATTTTGAGCATTTGGATGTTGCTTACATATGTGAATCATAGGATATCAACGACAGTTGTGCGTAGCAATAATATATATTTTCCTATAAATGTAGGACACACCAGTTGTACAGGCATGGATAAGTATTATTTAAATTACATGAATTTGATTTATAGTGAAATTACATGGTTGCTCTCCTCTGACATCAGTTAGTGAACACATTCTGATAGTTAGTCGTTCAATGGAGCACATAAAGAAATATAGAAATATTGTCTTCGCGTTAACAAAAAAACCCAAGTATGTGTCGGATAAATTACAAATATTTGGGAAAAAAATAAAGCTTGAAGTCAATTCCCCCATATAACTTTGTTGTGTGCGGCATCGTATCTTGTTTTATGGTCTAATTGGGTATTAATTTAAAATGAGTGATTAATTTTTGTGATTTTGACATCATTTTTTTGCAAGTAATACCAGATGTGAATTCAACTGAATGCAGATTAATATTGGTCAATTTCAAGCAGATTTGTTTTACTGCACTGAAGTCACCCATAGCCCGCCATTTGTCACAGCATGGTTGCTCCGTACGAGTAAGTTGATAAACACGTAGGAAGCTATATAAAAACCATTTTAGATCGTTGACAGTGCTTGTATAAGATGCTGTACAGCGTCTAGTTATGGTGACAGTGGATTTCATCAAGGATGCTGAGCCATTACTAGCCAAACCTTGAGGGATAATAT